ATATGCATCACAACACATCAGCCATCTGATGAGTTATCAAGAAAATTATTAACAACCACCTAACAGGTACATATAGACTTTGGTAATTTTATCCATGATGAGCTAAGCTAAAGCAAGAAAACTATAGAAGTGTACGAAAATGGATAAACACGATGAGAATCAAGTATATATTTAAGTTTCTAACAAGCCTAACCTCATTGCCTGACTCGTTCTTCCGCTTTTTCCCTTTTGCAGCTGCAACAGACAATATAATCATCTAACCGAAGCTTAACTCAGATAAATTTAAGTTGCATCTAATCTTAACTTTGTTCCACAAAATTCTACAGATATCAAACCAATTAATTGGAAGCTGTGAGGAGAACTTTGACTTTGGATGAAAAAATAATATGCTGCCTACCATTGTTTTTCGTGTCATCTTTCTCAGCCTTTGTGTCTGCAAGATCAGAAAAACATGTTTGACATGAATGACCAAATATGTATTGTGTATTCTCTAAAGGGTCAATATGAGGGGGGGAAAAAATAATCAACTCAGTGTATGTACATGCAGGCCTCTGAGCATGTTAAAGATAATATTAATAAGGATTCTTCTATAAGCGTCAACAAAGTGAAACCAGTACAAATGGGGATTTCCTCTTAGTTTTATTTTTACAACTCACAGGCATTACATATCCATATTGGGTAGTAAGAAGCTTAAACTCACCTGCAGAGCTTCTAGTTTTTGTCTGAGCCGAACGCCCAGACTTGGTACCCTTTTCTACTCCTTGCTTTTTATCTAGAGCTTTCTGTTTGACGAGATTCTCCTCGGTATGTTTCAGCAATCTATCCGCACTAACCCATTCATCCCAACTGTTTTGGCAAGACATTTATGTCTAAGTACCAATCTAGCGATTTCGCTACATAAACCACAATAGACATGAGTCACCAGAGAGAGAGAGATACTCACTTTTTGTTCCAACCCTGCAGACACAGATTGCTGTATCACTTATTACTGCAAACCAAAAGCTCTGAGCAAAATCAAAATAGCTACAATTTGAAACATTGAAATGAAACTATGGAAAGAGGTCTCACGAGATAATGAACAAAGTACTTCCACTCCTTTTTTCGAAGCTCGACTTTTTGAACCTGCATTAGGTAGTGACCAATAATATATCAGGTCTTTGCCACACTGAAAACTCTATGCATAGTTAATTAGCCAAGCAAATCAGCTTGCCCTATTTCCCAAACTTCCATGAATCCAGTACGGCAAGCACAGACGAAACATTCAAATTCAAAATCCCAATTGACCTAAATTCAAATCTAGCAGAGGAATCCCAAATCCCAATTCCGATAAACCAAACCCAGTAAATTCCGTGTTCACACATACAACCAATACCACGTGAAAATGCAAGATTTTCAAAATCAAACACGAATTCCAGAATTCAGATTATGCGAACGTTCCATGGAACAC